TCCGCATGGACAACTTCTAATCTTAAAACTGATTACCTTGAAGGGCAATAAAAAAGAATACAAATCCACACAGATTTTTTAGATGAGGAAGTGAAAAACAGCAGAATCAAGAGAAGAGAAAAAAAGCCACAAAAATTAAGAAAAAATGTGAAATAAAACTAATTAAAATTATTTTAAACTTTATCTCCTTCATTCTTCAGAAAATCTAAATTACAAGATTAGATCTACTCCAAATTTAAGCTAAAGCACACGCACAACACGATTTTTCCATACTTTATATAGTTCAATATAACCAAATATACTGAAGAACAAGGAGTAAAAGTCTAAGCTTAATGAAAATTTTGCTCACAATATTAAGAGAAATGACACACCATTGGATTCTTTTTGGTGCGAAAACTCTATAAGCCATGCACAGACAAACCTATTCACTCTTCCAAGCATACAAAATCAACGAAAACCCTAGTCGCCAGAGCTGAGGTTCAGTCAACATTTGGGAGGAACCCCACATCAAAGATTTCTCATTTGAAGCACATGTTTGGAACATAAAGACTGCATTTCCCATGGATGAATCAAAAAGCCAGTTGTGCACATCCCAGAACACCTCAACAGGCAATCCATCAACAAGAATTGTCTGATTTCCTCTAAATTTCCATAGGAGCCTCTTCACCACCATCACCCTCTTCTTATCAACGCGGATCACAAGGCATGGATCCTTCAACCCAATTGTCTCACATTCTATCATCAAATCATGAGCTTGACCTCTGTCGCAGAATTGAGCCTTTGTGCAGTATATCTTCTTACCAAATATGTGTTCCTTCTTGGCTATGAAGGTGGCATTATGAGGAGGTGGACCTGCATTGGTCTTTCGATATGCCTCTTTGAGTAGATCACCAAGAAGAAGAACTATGTGAAAATCAAAAAGAACTGCAACATAGAATCCTTCTACTGGTTCAGGTCCAGAGCCAAACTTTGCATTAGAGAGATCCCAGAAGACATCTACCTTGGTGTTGTCCGCTTCAGTGCTCTTGGAACCTTTTCTTTTGGAGAACAGCCATGGCTTTATATCCACCTTGCAGAGAGATTGGTTGTTCGAATCATCAACTCCGATGCTGAGACACTGGCCCATTATGTTCTTGCTCCATGTGATGGAGATCATACAAGAGGTGCCACAGAGATGAGTGCTGTAGATGCAGGTAACTAGATTCTGAGAAGTTTTGCTGGAATTAGATGAGGCATCTGAAACTTGAACTCCGCTTTCACCGAAACAGGAAGGGAAATCCCTCATCCTGATGTCACCGGGATCAAATTGGGGGATTTGGGTGGATAGAATTGGGTGAAAACAGAAGAAAAGGAGAAATATCAACTATGATCTTGCCCGGAAGAAGAAATCAAGTACTGTAACCGAAGGAACGGAGAAATTGAAGAACCCATGAAGAACGGAGGAGAGAACTATTCATGTGTTTCTAATTGGGAACAGAAACGCAGAAACCCTAATTCGCCATGTAGATCTCTTTTCCAAAATTGCAGTAGTGGCTAGCAGAGCCCATGAACCAAGAAGATTTCGATAGAATTCGAAGAAAGCTGCGAACTTTCGCCTCTGATTCAACAAAAATCACAAGATCCCACCTTCCCCAGTGCTAACCTAATTCCAACTAGAAACCAACACGGGATCAGGGAATTGGAAGCGACGGGAGGATGATGAAGAAAGAGAGAGAGCAAACGAAGAGGAAAGCAGACAAACAGGCACTAGTTTCTGTAAGTTAGCTACATCCACAACATCTACTTAAATAACTACGCCAACTGATAGAAGGAACCTCCACAAGTAACTTCAAAGATCGAACTTTACCGAGCGAAGCCCACATGCACGGTCAAACAAAGATCCAATTCAATCCAAGGATAGATTCCAGTGGGAAAACATCAAAGGCTCGTCGGGTCACTCTCCTCAACCCAAATCGAGCCTCGAGCTCAAACAGTAGTGATGATAAAGCAATTTCTAGTCTCAAAGAAGCAGCTTTCCAGATTCAGATACGTATGAAAGATAAAACAGTCAGCT